AATTTCCCATGTTGTTTTCCTCCAAGCTGATGCGTATTCTTTGCTCACTTCTTTCCCCAGGAAGACTAATTATGTTCTAGTAGTGTCATGTTCAAATTGAGGGCAGATTTTCAATAAACATTAGTATTTTGATGTAATTTGACTGTTGTACTAATATTTTCATAGACTATAACCCAGTTGTTGTCAAGTAGATTCAACGTGATGACCCATGTGTGTCAGAGACCTGTCTATAGAAATTTCAGGGGCTGAGTTTTGGGAGGATATCCTCAGGTCCTGCTTCCAAGATGCCTCTGGATGGCCTCCAGTGCCCAGTGTGTGTCCACAGGGACACCAATAAGATTTCCCCAAATGGCTGAATGTGGATATAGTCATAGAAAATTGTTATGCAATCACCTTTCCCTCCAAATTTCAGGAGATAGCTGAAGTCAAGGACAGGCATTCTTGCCTAACCCATTTAAATACGATTCTAATTGAGGAACTACCTAATAAACATTAGTAATAATTGAAGCCAGTAACTTATTCTGATTTACTGAATGTAGAGTTTTACTAGTTAGGAAAAAACAAAAACAAAAAAAGGAAAAAATAAACGTCAGGGAAACCAAGGATCCTAGTGACGTTAGATGTCCTCACCAATATGACGTAATTAACTGTCTCAGGTATTCACAGCCTGCTTTCCCCTCTCCAACAGGTAGCCCATCTATTACTAGGCAAGACGCTCTATGACATGATCTTGAGTATTTAAGTGCAATTAGAGTTTCAAGTTTGTGTTGTGCGGTCACTGCCTTGCACTGTTAGCTGGTACATACTGCCCAGAGAATCGAACCTATGTAGCCGGCACACTTCTAATAGCAATTGTCTAACAACTTTGCAAATGTGGAATTCTCTGAACTCACAGTAATGCAACTGGTGATTTACCCACATAGATGGTCTTTTTTGTGATGTAAAATAGGCAGTCTGAGTGTAGAAACTTCCAAATTGTTAGTAGTATAACCTCAGGACCAAAAATGAGTGATCATGTTCTCATTAGTAAAGGGAGTGATCCACTTCTCAGGACCTTATCTTGAGGAGTAAATGAATTTAAACATGTAAAATACAATTGCTGTTAAGTGCCGTTGAGTTGGTTCCGACCCACAGAGACCCTGTATAGAATTTCCAAGGAGCAGCTGGTGAGCTTGAACTGCCAACCTTGCGGCTCAAACAGACTTTGCAGTCCAGTGCATTTTCTCTTATTAAAGTATTGCTCACTTGGAATCAGTATTTATATTTAAGTTGTATATAAAAAATAAATGCTATGATTAACATCCTCAAAAGATGTTAATTTTCAAGACTGTAAATGGAGTTTTTTTCTTGGTGTAAACTTCCTTAGCCATGCTAAGCATGGAGAGAATTCTTGCCTGATAGCTTCAGTTCAGCAGCGACTTGGTGAGATATCTGTGGTGTCACTGAAGCTAGTACTACATCTTTTCTCCTCCATCTGTTTGCATTGACAAACACACTGTTTGCCAACAGCGCCACTTGAGCTAGTCACAAGAATTTAGGAACACAGCTGGCATGGCATTAGAATTCTGAGGCTTTCTCCACTATAGCTAATGATTACACAGTCCTGTCAGATGTTCAGGTTACCATGCTCACACTCCATCCACATTGTCTATTAGACATCTTGAGGTTTGGTTTTCAAAAGACAGTCAGAAACCAATCCCATCATATTAATCTAACTTCATTGCAATCCCTGGTCAAATCCATCACATCACCATTGTAATACTCTTTAAGGTGGTCTCCCAGTTTCTTCCCTTATTCTCTCAACAGGTCTGTTCTCGACACGATCATCTTAAAAGACAAGCCACATCAGGCCATTCTTAGGTTCAAAACCATTCAGCAACTCACTGTACTCACAGTAAAAGTCCTTTAAAAAATCCTATAAGGCCCTAAGACTTCTGCCCCCTTCAGAGTACCCGATCCACTTTCCCTCTTTTTCTGTGTACCACCTGCTGCCAGGAATGGGTTTCCCTCACTATGTGCAAGGCTACTTGTTCCTTCTCTTTGTCTTTGCTAAAATGCTACTTTTGTAAGGCCTACCTTATTTCAAATATGCACACACTTAAGCATTCCCTATTTTCTACTCTAGTTTTCTCCATAGCATTTTTCATTACTTAATACATAAGTTCCCAAAAGTGTGGTTTCCAAAACTTTCTAAAAAGTTCCCAGGGGATGCTAATGATGTCTGCTTCTTTAGGAAAATGTCTCCTCCCAGACTTTCAATCCTTCTGATTTGGGTGAAGTTATACCACTTCAAACTTAGAGACTCAGAATCACCTGCAGGGTTTGCTAAAACACAGAAAGCTGAGAAAACCTGTCCTCTCCCCTCAAACTTTCTGACTGGGTAGGACTGGGATTGGGCTTGAGGCCCGCATTTCTAATAATATCCCTTAAGTACTGATAGAAGGAAATTCATAATATGCTTTCTACTGGGTTTGCCCATTTTCCTCCATCAGATTGTTTAACGTAGCAAGTTTGTTTGGTTTTGTGCTATATTCTGTGCAAAGGACAATGCCAGACACATAGTAGTTATTCAATAACTACATGCTGAATAAATACATGGAAACTGCTTATTCTAGCATTATAGCAGAGATTTTCTTCTAACTTTGATAGATTTTATATGAAGAAAGACAAACATAAAGTTAGAAAAACATTATATACTTCAATCTCCTCATGCAAAAGGCATTTCAAAGAACTGGGCAACAAACAACTAGGATTTCCTGATACTTGGGAAAATAACTTACTATTAACAATTGACATAATCACTATTAACATGAAAAACCAAATCCATTGCCACTAAGTTGATTCATAATGACCCTATGATGTTGTTGTTCATTGCCATTTAGTCAGTTCTAAGTCAGTGACCTTGTGGTCAGCAGTCAAATGTTTATCCTACAGTGCCATACCAGGACAACTATAGTGCAGGGTAAAACTGCTCCGTAGGGTTTCCAAGGCTGTACCCATTACTGAAGCGGACTGCCAATCTGTGTCCGCAAAGTGGCGGATGGGTTTGAGCCACTGAACTTTCCATTAGAAGCTAAGTGCTCAATCACTGTTATCACCTGGGTTCCTAACTGTAACATTACTACTACTAATTAATGTTTACTGAATGTCACCATGATAACCATGCTATGCACGTTATCATTTTCTCATGACAAACTCTGAGGTGGCTTGTGGTACCGCTTCCATTTTGCAGAGGCAGGGCTCTGTTACAGCGAGTCTCCCCCGCCCTCAGTGGATTCTCTGGCTTCTCCTCAGTGTCCTCCCACCTAGGAGGCTACAGGCAGGGAGTGGAAACGGAGGCAGAGGTTTACTTCATTAGTGTTCAGACAGGCTAAGGTTCAGACAAGCACATTAAAATTTGCTGAACTTATTTACCTTGTGTAACACAAAAGACAAATCCTAGTTATTTTTCTACAATAAGGTTCTAGAGAACTATGGGGAATAATGGATTTCTACATGTAAATGCTGACCCTACAAATGATATAAAAATTCAGTCGTGAAGATATAAAAATGTTTCTCAGGAAGCATTTTTTTTGAGGAGACACCTTTTTTTGGGCAATAATTCAGAATAATTTGCTCTGTCTGAATATGTAGTCTACCAAATGATGCAAAATAGCACTACATGTATGTAAAGAAAATGTGAAATTATGAGTTAATAATTTATTACTCTTAGAACCAGAGTCAATAAACTTCTTCAAAGCCAGATAGCAAATATTTTCGATTTGGAAGCCATTTCGTTCTGTTGTCATGGAAATCTACCACAGACAAACATAAATTAATGGGTGTGGTTGTGTTCCTATAAAATTTTATTATTTATGTACATAACATGTTCTATAGTTTGTTGCTATTTGTGTTAATAGGAATTCTATAATCCTAGTGGAATGAGTGAAATGGACCAAATCATTTTCAGGTAAATAACTTAAATGTATATTTTTTCAGTTGTTTTGTCTCAAAGCTATATCCATATTCATATAACTTAGCACAGTGACTTAAAAGTAAAGACACTTCTAGTATATGAATCAAAACAGACATCTGGCTCTACAGTTAAGGAGAGTTTGTTAAAAGAACGTTTGTATTTATTTTTACACAGCACAAATGCAGGTGACACTGTAAATCTGGTTCCCCACAAACTTATAAAGTTAACAACTCAGAGTCTAAATTCTTAAGAATCTGCATCACTCACCTTAAGTATATACTCTCTGGGATCCATTAGCAGCAGAGGAGAAACCTTAACTTAAAGCACCAAGTTTCCAGGCATCCCTACAAATGTCTTTTTCATTCTCTAATACATGCAGTCAAACCACCTAGGAAGCAAATACCAATTCACCTTTGTTAATCTTTGATCAACACCCTAAGCTTTGGGAACCCAGTCTTATTCTTAGGCTTTAACATGGTGAGTCTCCGTCGTCTTTAGTTTGTTATATGTCCTTCCATGACATTTTAAAATTTTCAATGCAGTTCTATTTAACATCACTGTAAGTGGAGTTGCGAACATAATTTCTTATAGAGTCAGTCATTCAAACAGCTTAGGGACATTCTTATCCATTTTAGATGGCTTTAGGAAAACAGAAACATGATTGTTCATGTAGGGTGTTCTAGAAACACTTACTTTTAAAAGTTAAAATTTAGAATTTTATAGCAAAGCAAGTATGGACTGTTTCTTCTAGCATTATAGACAGAAACCAAAACAACAAATTCCCTTATTATATGTAAATAAAGGTACAAAACTTAGCTCCGATATGCATTTTATAGATGTGGGTTTCATTTTCCAAAGTAGGGTGCAATGGGTATTTTCAGGGTCTTGCCTAATACTAGCTAGCTCTATATACCCAGAGACTCATTATTGGATCCACAAAATGGACAATGAAAACTGGCTGAGAGTGCTGATCAATGCTTCCACAGGAAACCTGACACACAGAGTTCATTGCCATGTTCAATGGACCTGAAGTTTTCCTTAAAACTGCTCTTGAGAGGCTGAAGAGAGAGCAGCCGCCTGTTATTTCTTTAGGCTCCAAATACACGACTCTATTGTACAAAGGTTTCGTTCTTCATTCTCTGCCTGTCGTCAGCAACTTGAGAGCCTTCTGTAGATTCTGCACAGCTGTGCTCACATCTTCATACTGCAAAGCACTGCCAGCATATTTGCAGTATTTCTGAGCTCTAGCAAAATCCTCAGGTGTTAGACGAATGTCCCCTAGAAGAAAAGGATACTTCATGTTTTCATTCAAAACTTTGGACAAGATTTTAGGGTATATTAAAACATTAAGAAGGCTTTCTTTCCTCCTCTTTTTTGCTACCCTCAGTTGTATTTAGATAGTATTCTTCTTGCTTTTTAAGATTTGGTTATCACTAATATAAACCACAGATATGTCAATACATAGCTTATTCAAGTAGGATTTTTCCTTTTAGAAGCAAATAACTAAAAGCTTGTATATCTTGGCAAGTTAATTGTAAAACAAGCATCATCTCTGTGAAACAAGCAGTTTTGGCATTTATGCCAAAATCACTGACCATTTCTCTTCTTGAAACAATACACACAGACTAAACCATTCAACCTTCATTTGAACTACAATATAAATATGACTCAATAAAAATGAATAACAAACTTTATACAATGACAAAATTCTTTTGAAAGCATGAAAATATAGTACATTTTATACCGTCCAGATTAAAACAAAACCCAAAACCCTAAGGCTTAATATTAAATTTCATAGCATTAAAATATGAAGTCCAACATGTAAGCAAAAGCAAGTTATTTCTTAAAAATTTATCCTTACCAAGTCTCAAAGCATAAAATTAAAACTTTGAAATTACTTAAGTTAAAGACTTCAAAGTCAGTAGCAATACCAGTTATTATGATATTAAATAATGATCCAAATGAATATTTGCTAAATTTTTCAAAAGAGTATTGCTACAGTACGTCCCAAAGTATCTAGTCCAGGGTCAGGCTTGCAGTAGGATTCAATACCTTTCTTAAAATATAAGAAGTTCTTTTATCGATTATAGAGATAATACAATCACTTACCTATGTAATGGCAGTACTGTATGCTAAAATTAGTAATTCTTCAAATGTTTGCTGAATTAGTATGAAAGACTATATAAATATTTGGACCTTACTATTATGAATCAGAAATTATACAGTACAATGTTACCAGAAACGATTTTGATTTCCTTGAATTGTTTTAAGATCAATCAACTAGTTAAAAGTACTTATATTAAAACAAAAACCCACAAAAACAAAAATATAGTTTCTTCACAATTCTACTTTTTGCATTTTGGTGACTTGACAAAAAACAAACAAAAAATACAACCACACTGCAGTTCTGAGGACAACTCAGGGCAGGCTAGCTTTCATTTGTTTATTTTTCTGGAAAATATCTGAGTTTATTTTAAAGGTTATTCCAAATATGTTAAAGTTCTAGTCACATAGTATACAGCACTAAGTGCAGAGAAACCTTTAAAAATCAAGTGTAGCTTAACACTGTACATTATGCGTTTCCAGAGTCTATCCTCCAATCTCACACATGGCATGGGTCCAGAATTTACTGGACTCGCTGGAAGAAAGCCCAAATGAGCAACATCAATCTTATTGTTACAGCATTAGCTTTAGTACTGTTTTGCTGACACATAACATATTTATTAATAAGATAAAATTTGTGTTGTAGCAAGAACTGTTACTATTTTAATTTTTGTAGGCTAAACTTATTCACCAATGATGACACTATTTTAAAACACAAATATGCATTTTACATTGAAATTATTCGTAAAATACAAATAAAAACACTTTAACAGAAAATATAATCCCATATATATTTATAATGCATATATGACATATATAGTTTAGCAACATTTACAACAAATTAACAACTAAAATACATTACATAATAATGGCACTATAGATTTAGACTATATACTTAATGACTTAGATGTTAAGACTTATTTTCTAAAATTAAACATAAAAGAATTAAAAAAAACATGTCAAATTTTTGTTGCAACATTCCAGGCTTCCCTTCATTTAAAATATACCCTGGTCAAGTCATAGTAATAATAAAATATGTGAACTAAACCTTTAAATTATATTAAAACAAATCTGTCTATTTTTTTAAATTCGCATTTAAAACCTTAACAGAGAAAACTGAAAAGACATTAAGAAGAAAAAACACATTTTAGGAAGAGAAGAATTGCTCAATTTCAGTTAATCTGACTTTATATTTACAAAAGTAAATTCAGGCTAATGTAGCAAAATAAAAACATTCTTCCCTAAATGAAAATGTACTTTTTTTACTTGAGGCCAAATTAGAAGAAAAAAAGCATAAGGTGGGCCTGCTTGGGCTGCTACCCACAAGGTCAGCAGTTTGAAACTACCAGCTGTTCCGCAGGAGAAAGACGAGGCTTTCTGCTCCCATACAGATTTAGAGCCTCGGAAACCCTGTACAAGGTCGCTATGAGCTGGAACTGACTCCACAGCACATAACCACCACCACCAAATACTGTTTAAATGGTTAGAAAGGTTATCGTCTGTATCTCTTCTGAATTCTTGTGCTGATGAGTTCCAAAATGGACTATGGACAAGGCCGTATTTATCACGCAGCTTCTTTACTCCATCAGGAGACAGGACAAGAACAGAACAGATAAGAAGAGCTCTATCTACTACTCAAGGTCTATTCTGCAGCAAGATGAAGATAAGCGAGCCTGGGTCAGCACTGGATCCAAGATAAGAGTCCTGACTGTAAGGAGGAATCCCTGCATGCTCAGCTGACACAAGCTACTGTTTCCATGGTTGATTTTTCTGATGCCATGGTGTTTAGAAACTTTATTCTGTTTAGGAGTTCTGAGGAGTCCTGGTGTAGCACTACAGAATAAAGCACTTGACTGCCAAAAGTCTGTTTGAACCGCAAGTTCAAACTCACCAGCTGCTCCTTGTAACCGTGTACAGAGTCGCTATGAGTTGGAACCGACTCAACAACAGTTAACAACAACAGTTCTGAAATCCTTATGTCAAGGGATTGGATAACTTAATCCCACTCTATTAATGCACAGGAGATAGGCAGAATTTGTAAGGGAACTCTATGATCTACATTAAATCTTTGTGATGAATAGAAAGCACCGTGGTGAATCCTAATATACAGGCAGGCCACTTAATAACAATAACAATAGTAGTGATGAGTGCAGTTACAAGTTTGTTATGGCAGACACTGCACTACATACTTTTTAGATATTATTCCATTTAATTCTCAAAACACTTTGCTATTCAAACCCAGAAGATGTATAAGATACACAATACCCCAAGTCTCTCTACCTCTGCAATTCCACTCTCCACCTGAGCCAGGTGCAAATCCACTGCAAATGCCTACTATATAGCAGGCACTGTCCCAGTAGTTAGGAATATCATAAACAAAACAGACAAAAATCCTTGTACTAATGGGGCTTACATTCTAGACTGGGATGACAAACATTCTACATATTTTGTATTGTATTGTTGTTAGGTGCTGTCGAATCAGTTTCAACTCATAGCAACCCTGTATAGGGTTTCCGAGGAGTGATTGGTGAGCTTGAACCGCCGACCTTGCGGTTTAAACTGACTTTGCAGTCCAGCGCATTAACCCGCAGAGCTACGCCAGGGCTCAAAATAGAAATACAGTTGTTGTTAAGTGCCACTGAGACAGTTCCAACTCACAGTGCCAAGGAGTAGCTGGTAGGTATGAGCCGCTGACGCTGTGGTTAACAGTAAAGTGCATATCCTACAGCATCACACCAGGAGCTTTGTACTATATTCAAGGGGGATAAGGAGAAAGCACTGAGTGAGGGAAAGCAGCAGGAAAAGGCTACAAGGAGTGTTAGGGGAGCTGGGTACAGTTCATGGATGCAGTCTGCAATCTGTGCAGCCTCCCGAAGTCCCCAGCGCATATACACACAAATGTAGACAGAGAAACATAAAATTCTGGTTGGAATGTTTGTTTCCTACACAGAATCATGCTATACATAATGTTCTACAATTGTTTTTTTAACTTAATATGTCTAAGAGATCTTTTCATGTGACAACTACAATATTTTTTTAAGTGTGCATTCTAGGAGTTCTGGCATGGTGCTGCTGCGGGATATGCACTGGATAGCTAAGCCACCAGTTGCTCCTCTGAAATGCTACACAGGGTTGCTATGAGTTGGAACTGACTTGGCGGCACTTAACAACAATATATACTATTCTATAGGATGAATATACTATAAATAATTAATCACTTTTCCATTAATAATGGGAGGTGGAGATTGTTTCTTTTTTGTCATCCCTACAGTAACAGTACAAAGGAGCCCTGATTGTACTGTACCCACTAACCAGCAGTTCAAACCCATCAGGTGCTTTGCGGGAGAACGAAGAGGCTTTCTGCTCCCATAAAGATTGACAGCATCAGAGTCACATGAGGAGGAATCAACTTGGTGGCAGTGAAGGGTTCATTTTGGAAACTATATACAAAGAGATACCAAGAGCCCTGTGGGTTAAGCGTTGGGCTGCTAACTACATAGTTAGTAGTTCAACCCATCAGTCACTATGCAGGCGAAGCATGAGGCTGTATGCTCCCGCATTTAGTCTCAGAAACCCTATATAAGATCACTACTAGTTGGAATCAACTTGACGACAGTGGTTCTAATGAACAATTCTGAAATAAATACACATTTTGTTCCCATGTGCAAGTATTTCTTTAAGATTGATTCCTAGAAGTCAGTGGCGTAGCTGGGTCAACACATATACATTTGCTATTAGGCTAGTGACAATGCTAGTGAGAAAAGTTTGACCGATTTATATTCCCACCAACAATATGAAGTGTTTGTTTCCCTAGACCTTCATTTATACTGTAGATTATCAGTGCTTACTCTCTATTTCCATATGCATTATCATAAAGCTAAACACACTTTAGTTCTCAATTTTAATCATTATCAGTGACATTTGATAGCTTTTCATATGGCCATTAGACATTTGCATTATCTGTTTAAAATCTCTGTCAATTTTTCCCTACTGAGTTGAATTTTACTCATTCATTTTTAGGAGCTTTCTATATATGCTCCGGACATTGATTCATTATTATTAAAGAAAGAAAATTATTTTCCAATCTATCAGCAGCATTTTAACAATGCACTTGGGTTAAGTGAGGGATCGGTTGCAGTATGTTTATTGCTTTAAACATGTCAAACATGGTAAGATATAAAGGAGACCCAAGAATTCTGAGACAAGGATCTAATGTAATTTTTTTCTTGTTAGCTAATTGTTCAAACATCATTTTGGAATATATATTCCAAATATGTATCTTTCCAAATAGCATGGAAATTAAATAAAGGGTTAAGATCTAAATGTCATTTGGGTTTATATATCTAAAATTATTTTGTTTTCACACCTGATAGTTTGGTTCAGTAAAGAATCCCAGGGTTCTGATTCTAAAAAGGACACTAATTTTACATGATTAACTACTCTTACTCCTGAAACCATGTTAAAGGTAGTGGAAGCAATTTCACCTTAGAACATTTACACTGGAGGCTAGGAAGCTCATCTGTTCAGAGAACCTTGGGGAGATTATGCGAGTGGATGGTGGTGGGTCTTTACTACATCTAAGAAAAAGCAACTAGTCTCATAACCTTGCCCCTATACAAAAAACATGTCTCAAAAACTGTAGAAGGAACTGTCTAGACAGGACTCCCAAGGTAGGTGGTCCCTCTCCTAAGAAAGTTTCTTCATGGGAGATTGAAAAATCAAGTGAGACAAAACTTGCAGACATAATATTTCCTCTAACGGAAACCCACAGTAGCTTACTAAGAGTATCTATATTAATTTCTTTATTCAAAATATAACAACACTAAATCTCACCAGACATAGAAGTTAAACAAACTCACTGAATGAGATAAACAAATACAACAGACAAGTAAGGGACTGGGGGAGATCAATCAGAAAATTAGGAAACAGTAAAATTAACAAAGCAACCACCTATCTATGATACAACTAAAATAATACTTCTCAAAGATCTCTTGGAGGATGTTTCAAAGAGTTCGTGGAAAATTTCCATTATATCTCAATTCCATTTTCCATGAACTTTTTGAAGCCTTCTTATAGTTTCAATAATGGTCAGGACCGCTCTACTTGTTATTACGGGTGCTGTGGACTTGGTTCCAACTCATCCCGACCCTATGCACACAGAATTTGCTGCCTGGTCCTGTACCATTCTCCCGTTTCTGATGCTTCTCTCTCCTTGGTTAATCGATAACAGCACAGCTAAGGAAGGTTGTTATCACAGTACATAGTAGTCTTAAACTTCTAAAGGAATCTGCTGGCATTAGCTTCCATGCCAGTTTTGGTTACATGTGTGTCCCATTGTATCCAGCAATAATGCACAAAGGAATGCCATTTTGTTTTGGCAGTTTGGGCCGTATGAAAATCTTGCTTCCACTTGAGAATCCAGTTAACAAAGGCATTCAAGGAAATATCTTTTGAATTACTTAGATATTCAAGTTTGAAAAAAAACATCTGCATATATGGCATCTCTATGGCAATATTGCAAAATAACACTCCAAACAAGAGATCCAATGTTTCTCACACAACAGCGGACTTACCCTGGGAAACTGTATTGAAAAGTGCCGGATCAATGGCTGGAATAGTCTGTGGAGTAGGTTGGATAGTATTACTTGTTACACCTGCAAATCAGAGAAGCACAAAAGGTTGAACAGTATTACACTCTTTAATTCCACACTGAGAGAGTATACAAAATATCATGGAATTTCATTACTTCACTTACTTTCTTAAAAAAAATTAATGGATTCTAATTTGATGTACTTATTTGATGTTGATGGTTGGTGAGAAAAACATTCATGTGCTGACTATACATTTTATTATGTATTTTATTTGTCACTATCAAGTTTGTCTACTACTTCAACTTGCTTTTGAATTAGAGCTTACCAAACATCTACCTGTCAAAGGAACTGACTCCCTCAATTCGGTTTAACTTCTTAAAGACAGATAGATAGATAGCTGCAATTTAATGGGCTCTGACTTTTGAGTCCTTAATACAGTAGAAAGAAGCATTGTTTGCTCTACATCTTCCTCACAATCCCCAGCATGTCTGAATCCACTGTAGTAGTTGTCGTATCATCTCATGTAACTGATGGTCTCCTACAACCTCGCTGGCCCTCTACCTACCTTCACTAAACAAGATGCCCACAGCAAGTGAGCCAAACAATATTCTGTTGTGATTTATAAGGTTTTTTGTTTTTTTGGCTAATCTTTGGGTAGATAACCAGGTCTTTCTTCTTAGTTTGTCTTGGTCTGGAAACTTGGATGAAACATGTCCATGATACTCCTTCCTATATCCATAATAGTATTTGAAATAATCCTGTCCATAACAGCATTTGAAATATAGCTTCCCGCATCAGAGCCACATCCAAGTTACAAAAGTACAACAAACTGACCCATTGAACCGGTAGTAGTTTAACTTCCTAGCCAATTCAATAATTTTTGGCATATGCTACATACTGTTGAGTTGGTTCCAAATCATAGCGACTCTGTAAAGGGTTTCCAAGGAGCAGCTGGTGGGTTTGAACTGCCAACCTGGTGGCTAGCTGGCCAATGCTTATCCTACACTGCCAACACCAGGAGTCCCTAATATGGGATATTTTGCTCCAGTTAATAGATTACCTTTGAAGAGTGACTTTGTAGTAAAGATAGTAAGAAGGAACAGAGGAAATGGAGACAATGGAACATTTCTAAGTAAACACATACTTTACGAGAATTCCAGAATGGTGATTGCACAATGGCTGAACTGAAGTTTTAAGGTATATTTTGGGAGGTCTGAAATGTTGACTTTTATGGACCTCCCCACCCTATGCAAGGGAGAAAATATTTTAAATAGTCAATTTTATCTCATTTAATCTTGTTTTACGGCAAATTAGTTTCATTTTTCATTCTTTGGCACTATTAAAAGCTGAAAATCATACCTTTTAATTAAAAGCTAAACTATTTTTTTTTTTTTTTTAAATACAAAAGATCATAGGTGACGAGCCTGTTTTTCTCATTCCTATCCCATGCAATTTTGAGGCTATTACCAATTTCTCAGTCACCTTTTCGTGCACACAAGTGTGTGTGACTCCAGCCCAGTCTACACTTACCAATGCTTTGCTAGTAATCTGGGTTCTACCTAAATTCTTCACATAAACTACATTTCTGGAAACAGTGCACTATTATATTATAGTTGGCATCTTGCATTAACATTTCAATGCTTATTTGTAACTTTCCATGTGGTCCTGGACGATAAAGCCCTGGCCCACAAGGTCAGTTTGAACAGAAAGGTTGGTGGTTCAAACCCATCGCCGCTCCTTGGAAACCCTATACAAGTTGTTATGGGTCGGAACCAACTTGATGGCACTTAATAGCAGCAACAATTAAATAAGCAGGATTTATAAGAATTAAATGCAGAAATTAAAGGAGATAAATTTATTTAGCAGAATTTCATTTCAGTTCTATGTTTTTTTTTTAAAAGAGGTGGCCTAGATCTTATTAAGTATTTGTAGGGTAGACTGTTGTTCCACATGTGCCCAGCAGCAGAGGCAGAAGTTGCTGCCACTGAGCTTGTCTTGAAGAAGGGCTATCTTCTTGATAGCTCTCACATGTGCATGTTCACCAGGGCCTAGTCCACTAGCTCAGCACGAGAACATGAGCCCATGTAAACCTGTTATGTTATACAATATGTTGATATTTTCATTTTTTGAGATGGCCAACATCTAGTTTATTTTTCATTCTTTCTTGATTTGGACAGGTTTTATCTGTCAGTTTGCAAAAGGGTTGCAGCCCTCCCATAAATAGTTTTTGTTGTTGTTAAGTGCCATTGAGTTGGTTCCGATTCATAGTGACCCTATATACGGTTTTCAAAGAGTGGCTGGTGGGTTTGAACTACTGACCTTGTGGTTCAGTGCTTATCCTACAGCATCATACTAGGACTTCTTATAAACAGTATGTTGGGATAATTTGACCAAAATGACACTTCTTGGGAAATCAAAATTCTAAGAAATTTCGTCTTTTCCATTATTTAAAAGAGGAAGAAAAAAAAAAAAAAAAACGTGTTCACAAGTAATTTCTAGTTAATTTTTTTCCTAGCATATTAATATGACTTCTTGTTGTTAAGAACTGTCTAGTCGGTTCCAACTCACAGAGACCCTGTGTAGGTTTTCCAAGGAGTGGCTGGTAGGTTTGAAATTTTGGCCTTGAGATAAACAATCCAATGCTTAGCCTATAACACAACACCAGGACTCTGATATAATTAGTACACATCAAAGAATTAAACATTAAAAGATTTATAACTAAATACTAAATTGTTCTACTGACTAAATTCTGTGGGGACCCAGAGCAGAGAGAAATGGGTACTGGTTAGAAATGACAAAGACTGATCCACGAGATGTAATGAAATAGCACTCTGATTGATGATGGAGAGGTAGAGAAAAAGGAAGAGAGACACGCTTGCTCATAGCAAAGGCAAGACCATGGGAAGACAGGATGAACTGAAACCTGAGTATACTCCTGGAGCATGGCACTGACAGAAACGGCTAGGTCAGAATATGAACAACTTTAAAAGCCTGACAGATCTCAAATGCAGCACTAATAACCCTAACAACAACATAATAACCAGGTAAGTTTCCAATTTATGTGTGAGGCGAACACAAGTCCACATTACTAATTTTAAAATTCCATTCTTAAATATATATTTATTTAGAACTGAGGCATTTCCTTAATATTGTTGACTATAAAAAGAATGCTTCAAGAGAAAGAAAAAACACATGCTTACATAGAACATGAGGGGGCTTCCAAAAGTTCATAGAAAAATTGCATTATCTTCTATTTCCATTTTTCCATCAACTTTTAGAGGCACCACTGTATTTACACTGTGGTTAAAGCATAAGAGGCAAACAGTTGCTTGTTTAAACAATCACCATTCCTCTCCTCTTTGCACCCCCTTTGCTTTTTTGAGGAAGAACTAAAAACTGTATATTAGTACATACTATTCTTCTTAGCTATCTTAAGGATTTCCCTTTGATAAAACTGCATCCTGGACCTTTATATGAGAGAAAGTAAATTATTTTTAAAGTGAGTAAGAGGGGAAACATCTGCTATATTTATAAACTAAAAATGTGATTTCATTTTCTATTAGGGAACTAAGATTTTTTTTTTTAAACTGTCTTAAATATAATAGAAACAATTTTGGGGAATAAGAACAGATGATTCCAACAATTTCAAGTAAACCAATCTTAAGAAGAAATATATTATCAGAAAAGTAGGTTTTGAATGGACAGGACTTTAGTTCCTTGGGAAAGGCATGTAGAAAAGAGGTGGTGAAAATAAGAACTACGGAAGATTTGGGCTCTAATTCTGGTTATGTTACTTACTAAGTATACTTGTATGTTTGTTTTCTTCAGATACTGTAACAGCTTAATCTCCTTAGAGTTTGCAACATTGGGGTACAACATCTAATACAGTTGCGACAAGCAATATGTACGCAAATTAGCCACGCTAATTATTTAAATACTAACTCCAAAAGGTTGTGTAAAACATGATTAGAACCTTATTCTAAAAAAGTTCTAAAGTTTTAAATCTAGCCCAAACCCTTTTTTGAGGAACAACAAAAGGCTCATACCAGAGTGAACTGAACTATGATTTGTTGATGCCAGAAACTTCCTGACGACTGCTGCTTGACATCAATCACAAGACATGATAGTTATTAGTTGGAACGTACGAAATTCCCAATTGTTTGTTGTTTTCACTTACAATTTCTTATACTTCAAGTACGTTGTTATTTCTCCTGCAAACATAATATATGTCTCTCTATATAAGATAAATGTGTATGAGTCCATATAACAACCCTGTCCTAAGGTATACTGTCCAAAGAAATCTTAAGGTCAGCATCCTGTCCCCTTGATTCACAAAATGATTTTGTTTTCATTAATTTACTATAAAATTCCCTGTCTTTCTTTGGCATAGAAATAGGAAGGAAGAGGGAAAAAAAAAAAAGGAAAAGGATGCTAATTTGTTGGACAGGACACATTTTGCATCAGGCATGGAAGTAGTCAACTTGTACAGTTTTCCCCTGCTAAGAACTTAAACAATCATGAGAAGTATGATTAATTTCATGTTAGGAAGAAAAAACTAAGCTAAGTTGAATAAACAATTGTATTTATGATTTAGCAAAGGGCAGAAACTAATAATTTATTAACCCTAAAATATATTTTATTCCTACAATGTAAACTCTGTTGTTGTTTTGTCTGCTGAGTTGGTTCCAACTCACAGCGACCCTGTACGGGATTTCCGAAAGTGGCTGGTGGGTCTCAACTGCTGACCCTGCAGTTACCAGTACAATGCTCATCATGCCACGTAAACTCCAGCGGGTTAATTAAAAAATATTTTTCTAAGGCAAACACTCCAAAGTAGGTTACGTTATCTCATGTATAATGGAAAATTCAATGCGAATAGTCCTACAAGATAATAAAATATTTAAAATCTTCCGTGAAAATTCACTTATAAAATTAATTCAAATTGGTTTATTAATATCATCATATAAACCACACAGCACTGAAAAGTCTGGGTAAATGTACAGAAGGATGACACAAGAGATCATTTGGGGTAAAATGGTGCTGGAAACTGAAAGTCAATGCAGCAATAGTGTTTTATGTGTTATGATGCTTATCATACCCTCAAGAGTATTCTAACTCTCAGGGACTGATCCTCCTTCTATCACTTAAGTACTCTGAAATGCTGCTGTGGTTTAGCACCATATGCTTGGACAAAAGTAAAAATTTAAGAGTATTTCCTGGGAAAAATAACAGCATAAAAAAATTAAATGCAAGATTTAAATTATGGTTTCATATGCCCTTTTGTGAAACTGTATTTAATTAATCTACTGACATTTATTTATTTATTGTTGTTGTTGTTAAGTGCCCTCAAATTGGTTCGGACTCATAGCAGCTCTGTATAGAGTTTCCAACGAGCAGCTGGTGGGTCTGAAATGTCGACCTTGTGGTTAGCAGTCAGTGTTTATCCTACGGTGCAACAGCCTGACTTTGCCATTTACTTATTACTGGAAACTGATTTTGACAAACCTCTGTATGGTGATAACACAGATGTCCAATACCAATTAATTCAAAGATAATAGATATCTCTTCCCTTATTATTTTTTAATCATGCTTTTCTCATGTTAAAACCATAGCCTGTCAGTGATTCCATTACAACTTTAAATGTCTCTGTTCCTCAAATCCTACTCTTGCCATCATCATCAGTAATGCTTGTGTCAAAGGCAGAGACAGAACAAGGCAAGAAAAGTCCAAAAATTCTAAGGGAATGAGGCAAGAAAAATCCCATCTTGGTATCCCAGTGAGACGCAGATGGACACATTCTATAAAAAAGACCTACTCGTTTCAGAGGTTTTCTTGGGAAACAGCAAACAGTAACACATATAAAAAGAACAGAAATGGTTCTGATTAAGGATATTATTTATCACTATAATGAGGCAGAGACATGACAGAAAGTACAGCTCGGCATGCGTTCACCCCTACCTGTGCTGTGAGGCACTTCTGCCGGTGTATTAGCTGGAGCGTGTGCGCCGGGAGGAATCTGTATCCCAGTGTAGCTGCTTGACGGCAGGCTGCTTGGGTCATACGTTGAAGAAGAGGATGGCTGCAGCGGTGGAGTGGGCAGAGAGGCTGCTCCAGCGTCTTCATTTTCTTCAACATCTATTGCTCAATATCGACACAATGTAAAACTAGGTATTCTAAAGCAGAAATAGCTAGTCTTACTCCGCTACACGCACGCAACAAACAGAACCTTCAAATGCAATGCTATAAACTGCCGGGTGATGAGTAGACCCTATCTCTTAAAGTAAGAGTTATCTTTTCCTTACTTCAAAATTTTAATTATTGCTGAAGAAAAAATGATCACTTCTTTTAAGGTAATACTTTCCCAAATCTGTAAATTATTTATATAGGGTACATTTTTCTTAAAGCTCATCCTTTAAACATGAAAAACGGAGGATATTTTTAGGTAAAACATTCTCATAGTTATGCTACTCAGTAAGATCTCTATTTTTCTGGTAGCTACCCTTTACTCAATATTCATTGTTTATTAGCTTAATTATTTCTGTCTTTGTTGTTTAAAATCAAAGGATGATATTTTATATTTAGCAATCTGAAAAGAAGAGCTAATGAGAAGGACCTTGTTTTAATAAGATTTAAAATCTATGCTATTAAAATATACTGTCTCATTAGCGGAATTTGAAAAGTACTTCAAGAGACTAAAACCTTGACAGTGTATTTAAATGACCAGCAGTTACTTTGGAAATCCTCATAATTTAAAATAAAATGTAGAGCAGCAAGTTAGAGCTACAGATTTATAAAATACGGTTGATTTTGCTGTTTTCTACCCAATTTTTTTTTTCATGTTTAAGAACATATTACATTTTCAATGTAGACATTTTAATAAACATAAGCAAGGAAGACTAATTCTATTAAATTTATACTTTATCTTGTTACATGCCATTGAGTCAATTCTGACTTATAACGATCCTGTAGAGGGTTCTGAAGGAGCAGCTGGTGGGTTTGAACAGTAGAGCTTATTGTTAGCAGTCAGGTGCTGAGCCTACAGTGCTACACCAGGTGTCTTCATATACGCTAATAGTACCACTTTCTCCTACACCAGAGAACTTTAACCTTTATTGCTTTATTTATAACTTTAACCTTTATAACTTTGATTCTGAGAAAGGGAAAAAACACTACTAAAGACACTGGAGAATGAATAAAAGTAGATAAAACCAGAGTGACGTTGGGCCCTGCAAAAGAAATGCCACCAGGAGAGGCTGGCCTTTATGTCATCTTCACTTGAGAACATTCAGCAATCTGTGAGTGTGCAGAACCAGAACGCCACCATTTTATTAGTCCCAGGAGGCTGGGAGCAAGAAGGTGAGAGTGAGAGGTGAGAGTAAGAGTGGAAGGAACTCTGGAAAAGAAGGAACTGTATGCAGAGAAGTATGACTTAACATGTGTCAACATAAACATATGATCCAGAACTGTCCATAAAAACTGAAGAGGACATTTCACAGGGCCTACAGAATGCAAGAGCTGTAAAGGCATAAACAAATGAGGAGCCAAGATTGTAAAGCATGACTGTATGACGAGGAATAGCTTTACCATGCTAACAACAAAGTTACTAAAAACATGTGGAAAAAAAGGGAAAAAGTAAAGACTGCAGAAAAAGACTCCAAGATGATCCAGATCCTGGAATTAGCAGAAAAACATTAAATCAGCAACTATAAATATATTTAAGGCAATAAATAAAAATAATAACTAAAGAAAGAGGGAAATCTTACCAGAAAAATACAAACTGTAAGGGAGGAGGAGGAGAAGTGAAAAACACAGAACTGACAGAAAGTGAAATTGTTTTTCTTTTCCATCAGATTAATGGGAAGGCCAAGAGAAATAATGCGACTCATTTTTACGTGATTAAATTTTGTAAAACTCACTTATGTGATTATTTTCTTGTCTACATCAAAGGAAGAAAAAGGAATGTACAAAAAACTGAGCAAATAATTGTATAGACAGTGGAAGATAAATATTATCATTTGCTTGAAAATTCATAAAAACAATCATATCTGGAAGAATCAAGAGAGCAATTACTTATTTGCATGTTGGGAAGATGAAGTAATGACAATATCCTGCATATTTTTATATCACCTTGAACTGTTGAGTCATGAGAATGTATTACTTAAAACAAACAAACAACACCTCAAATAGATACATACTCACTCCTCACTTAACTAACATGGGGAGGTACCAAAGATCAGGTCTTTAAGGGAAAATGGGCATTATGTGAAAATGGAGGTTGACCAGATCATATTACAAAAATGGAGGATGACTACATCACTCGATAACCACCAAATTACATCATTATATAACTGCTGAACCTCTGAGAATCATGGTCCAGCTATGCTGACACATAACTTTACCCATCACAGTCAGCTTTACTGTTTATTACCTTGATGTTTGTTAGTCAGACGTAGGTCCCTGATGCACATAGTCAGACTGTAGATGTCTTATTATTGTCATAACTGCAAAATGTCAGATAATGATATAGTTGATAAGTGATGAGTAGGTGTGCAGTATTGTTTGTAGTTTGGAAGCATTTTACAAATTATAAATGGATTGCCTTTCTTATAAAGGAATGAAAACGAACTAGAAGTAGCAGATACTGAAACAATTTTGTTGATATGAACAGAAGACACAACTTGGCTTTAATCTCTCTCCATCCTGAAAATTATAAACTACACCTAGTTTTCATTGATTCTGGACTGATGAGGGATACAAAAGTTTACAGTTCTTTTTGAAAACTTTGAGTAAGAATATACTGAAGAATTTGATTTTTCTAAATCATTTTACTTAAAACAAATAAATACATACCATTATCTTCTTCATCAATTCCAACAGGTCCTGCTTGAGGAGTCTCACCGTTCTTTAAACAATTATGGATATATGTTGCCTTCCACCTTGCATACTTTCTGTGTTTTACATTCTAAAAGAGAACAGTTTTACATTTGAATGGCAGTCTGTGGTAAAGAAATAAAATGAAAATATAAATATATGACACACTATCCATATTTCTGTGATAAAATCTACTTTTGCATGGGGGAACTCTGAAGGAGTTTGGCAATCTCGCCCCACCCCCATGTCTGGATTCTACCACAGGCTTTGTTGTGTTGTTATTGTTAAGTGCTGTCAAGTTGGTTTCGACTCACAGTGACTCTGCACAGGGTGTCTACAGAACATCTGGTGAGTTTGAACCGTAGACCTTGTGGTTCAAACTAATCTCGTAGTCGAGTGCTTACCCTACAGTGCCACACCAGGACTTCTAGGGCTACAGAAAATTTATGAAAAATGACCTTACTGAAAACCTATGCCCAAGTATCATATGATGGTTTCATCTTTCAGACACTGTCTAGAATGGAAATATGGGCAGGACAGAACCAGACTAAACGGAGTTTGAAAATTAAACACCAAAGGTAAGATTGAATTATTTTTGCTTAGAAGAAAAAAACGGTCTGTTAAATTCTATAAAAATAAATGGAAAACTGTGACGCTGTAGGCTAGGCACTGGACTACTAACTGCAAGGTCGGTGGTGCAAACCTACCAGTCACTCCTCGGAAACCCTATACAGGGCTGCTATGAGTCACAACTGACTTGAGAGCATTAACAACAAGATACCATAGTGGGTAAAGGCAACAGATAGACAAATACTAACCTGATAGTTGAGCATATGACCGGGCTCCAAAAGTTCAGGAAACTTCAATGACCTTTGTATTCCATTTTCCATGAACTTTTTAAAGTCCCTTTTTACTTGGCTATCTAGCTTGTGTTGTTGTTATGTGCTTTCAAGTCGTTTCTGACTCATAGTGACCCTGTATAGGGTCTCCGAGGAGCAGCTGGTGAGTTTGAACCACTGACCTTGAAGTCCAGTGCTTTTCCTACAGCGCCACATCAGGACTCCATCTATTTAATAAGGAGTGCTGGTGGTACTACAGGATAAGCAATATACTGTTAACCATAAGGTTGGCAGTTTAAATCAACCAGCTACTCGTGGGAGAAACAAAGCTTTAACAGTGACTCTGAGGCCCTATAAAAGGGCGCTATTAGTCAGAACTGACTTGACAGCACGTAACAACAAAAGCGACAGTAATATAGGTAAGAAACCCTGGTAAGATTGTAGGTTAAGTTTGGGGCTGCAAATTATAACGTCAGAGGTTCAAATCCATCAGCTGCTCCTTGGGATTTCTGCTCCTGCAAAGATTTACAGCCTCAAAAATTCTATACAGGGTTGTTATGAGTCAGAACTGACTCTGGCACTTAACAACAACAAAAACAAGGAGTCAGAATTGACTTGAGAGCAGTGGATTTGATTTGGTTTGGGTATGCTACTTAATACCTCATTATTTCAATTCTTTAAAAAGGAGAAAATGATATTCTGATTCATTACACAGTGAAACATGACTGAAGAAATCTGTTAGTTGCCTCTTCCCCGTCTTAAAATGTCTGCTGAACCCCCAAGCCCATGACCACTGAGTTGATTTCAACTCAGTGACCTTGTATAGGGTCTCAGACACTGTAAATCTCTACTGGAGAGACAATCGAGTTGATTCCAACTCACAGTGACCTTGTATAGGATCTCAGACACTGTAAAGCTCTACTGGAGAGACAGCCCCATCTGTCTCCTTAACAGTGGCTTGTAGGGTTGAACTGCCATTCTTGCCATAAGCAGCCCAATGCTTGCCATATAACGAACTTTTACTTTGAAAGCTAGCACATTACCCACTGCCATCAATTCAATCCACCTCATGGCAACCTATGTTGGAGTACCAAGGCTATAAATCTTTGTGGGAGCAAAAAGCCCCCTCTTCCTCCCATTGAGCAGTAATCGGATTCAAGCTGTTTATCTTGCAATTGGCAGCTCAACATATAATCCACCACACCACCAGGGATAAAAGAGTAAGATCTCTTATAATTTTGGGTAGGCTGAGATTTTTAATTTATACTTTCAACTGGCCTTGATAAAATTCAATAGCTTTGGCATCAGCTCAAAGCTTATTAGAAATGCAGAATTTTTAAAGCCCAAATGATTTACTGGACCAAATCGCTAATAAAATATCCCAGATGTTATGTGTGTACATTAAAAGTTGAGTGTACAATTTTATTATGTTGAAAACTTAAGTGTTGGGAGTAGGTTATGGAGTCCTGATGTGGTGCACCGGACAGCAAGGTTGGTTTGAACCCTACCAGCCACTTCTCAGAAACCCTATACGGGATCCTGTGAGTCAGAACCAACTGAACAGCACTGAACAACAACATTATGAGCATTGGCAGTGTAGTTATGTGTTGGGCTGCTAGCTACCAGCCACTTGGAAGAACGATTGAGGGTATTTTTGCTCCTGTAAAGATTATTGCCTCGGAAATGCTATACAGGGTCACTGTGAGTTGGAAGGACTCGAAGGTATTATATAGCAATGCTATATAGCAGCTACATGATCTATGATAGGACTCCTGGCTATGCATTGGTTAAAGCATTTGGTTGTTATCTGAAAGGTCAGCTATTCAAACCCACCAGCTGCTCTGAAGGTGATAAGTGTGGACTCTGCTTTCCATACACTCTATGGGCTAGTCCTGCTTTGTCCTCTATGAGTTGGAGACAACTGGATGGCAATGGCTATTACAACAGTAAACTGTTGAGTCAGTTCTGACTCTAGTGACTATAAAAAGTTTTCAAGGAGTGGCTGGTGGGTTTGAACTGAGGACCTTTTGGTTAGTAGTCCAGTTTTTATCCTACAAGCACCACACTAGGCAGGACTTCAACAATACAAGAAGACATCAATAAGTACAAATACATCACAGGATCTGGATTGTTAGTGCAATAGTCTATAATGTGAAATTCTCTAACGTTCTAAGCAAAAAAACATTGCCACTGAGTCGATTCTGATTCAGTAACCTTATAGGATAGAGTCGAACTGCTCCATACAGTTTCGAGGTTCTAAGTCTTTACAGAAGCAGGCGGCTTCCTTTTCTCCTACACAGCAGCTGCTGGTTTTGAACTGCCAACCTTCTAGTTAACAGACTAAAGCTTAACCCACTGTGCCACCAGGGATCCTTCAGTGTTCTAAGAATGACTAGTATAGAAATAAAAAGATGACCCCAAAGTTGATGAATTTGTATCACATTTTATTTCTCCTTTCTTATTAAACATTCCTCATATATTCTATGTTCACAAAATATTCCATATAGTCACTCCCATTTTCTTCCAATTACAATCATTTTGTTCTGCTTCACAAAAAAGAATGTCAACAATTATTATTTTTTTTTAAATGTTTTATTGTGAATTATGTGACAGTTTACATGGGAGAACATTAGCTTTATATTCATTCTAGTGTATATCGTTTCATTGCCA